CACGAAATCTTAATCGGTACAAGGGGGGGGGGGGGGGGCGACGCCGAATGTATGAATCGGCGAGGGGGTCGGGGCTATTGCGAAACATTGACTGACGAAGTAAGGGAAATCTGCGTTTTGTGAGGTGCGGCAGAAGTACACCGTTGGCCAATCAGAAAGCAGGAAGCGGGAGAGCGTGTTGCTTTCTGGTTTCAGTCACCTCTTCGCTGTGTTTACCGGGTGCGAGGGAGGGCACGTGTGTGGTGGCTAAGGGTACTTTCTGCCGTGACGTTTCTTGTAGCTATTAATAGCGGTGGCTCCGATATAATAGGGTGGTGTGACAAAGGCCCTTGTATCGGAGCCTTTTACACCGGGATAAGAGGGTACCAAACTAGAAGTACTTTTATTGCGGGTCGAGTCCGTGACAACCAAGTTCGACCCTCTTACCCTCTTGCATCGAAGCTCCCTCTTATAAGGTACTCTCCTATATCGGAGCTACGACTGTATTGGCGTCTGGTGCAACAAGCTCTTGCGGTGCGGTGTCAGGGGAAGAGGGCGTTCTGTCGCACGTGCGGGAGAGGGGCATCTCACATCGAAAACTCTCATCAACAGGGCCCGCAAGCAGCGGCAGCAGTAGCAGAGCAGTAGCAACAGCAGTAGCAACAGCGGTAGCTGCAGTGGCGACAAAAAGGGTCGATTGATGTCACGCCAATGTAACACCTTGCGATCGGGATCTGACACGTCCTTTGAACAAAAATGAGGACGGAACCCGGTGGATTTTCTTCGGGCTGCTGTATTCTCTCTCTCTCGCTCGCAACCTTGCGTCCGGTCGACGAAAGCCCGGACAGACAGACGAACTTGTCTGACTCATCGACCGAAGGATAGTCTAACAACCCGGAGGTCGTGCAACTTTCCAGTCCCCGACGGGCGGTACAGAATGCGCCACCACTTAAGAACCTCTTCCTTTGGTCGAGGCTCGTTTCTTATCTTGTTTACATTGGGGTGTTTTTACCTCCACGGCGACTATATGGGTTTTAGTGCAGGATTCTTGACTGAGCGCCTGCTCTTATGGCCAAGTTCGTAGACTTGGGGGATGTTTTTAGACTCAAGTTCTTACTGCTAAGTTCTCACGTGGTGGCGCGTTCTGTGGTGAGAACTCACCAAAAACAAAAATCACTCACCTATTTCTCGCCAAGTTTCGTCCGAGTCCGTTTTCCATTTCACCACAACGAACGGATCCGACTTGCTCAACTTATCCATTTTTCTGTTTCGGGGGCGCAGGGCGGCGGCAGTGCAAAAACAGAGTTAGCTAGTTGTCACCGGCGCCGCCGGCGTGTGCGTGGTAGAGCCCCGGAAATAACGTCGCAGGGAAGAAAAGCGGGATATACTTAAATAGAGTCGAGGGGGGGTCATGAAAACGGAACACGACCAGGTGTGGGTGTTTGTTGGCGGATAAAAAAAGCATCCCCGGTCGTCACCTCCTACCTGGCGAGCAAGACGACCTCGCGGGACATGGGGCGGGACTTCCAACAACGTCACCTGAATGAGAACCAGCAGTGTTGCTGAGCCCCGGTAGGCATCATTGCATCCGCGCTGCCGATCATCTATTATCATGCAGCAGTCTATGCACACTTCATTCTTGGTAACAAGACATCTTCTGGGTCGGATACACATAAAAAAAAAATATCGTCCTTCGTCCATCTCCCGTGGGCACCTCCTCCCGCTCTCCCATACGAAACCGCGCAAGATAACAGTTGCATGTCTCAGGACCTTTCTAACCATATTTTGAGACAGAGCTGGGTCACACAGCAGTGGCTGCGTGGTTCAGGTGGGTAACCTCGTGAACCTTTCTGGCTCTCTATGCATACAACAGCAGTAGGATCGGGTCTTGCAATCGAGTGTCTATAATGCTCAAATCCCGCAATCTGTAGAAGTGAAGAGCGCCAGTTCGTCAGTTCACACAGCACCGCAAAGCGCCGAGGAAGAATTACTTGTAGGACTTGATTTCCCGCCTATACGTATCAATCGTTCCCGAATTGGTACAACGGGTAAAGGACGTCGCCAACAACGGGTGAACTGCTGTGCTATCACGAAGAAGTATGTACATAGCGTAAGAGTCTTTGCCAGGCCAGCGGGTGAGCTGACCTGGAAGAGAAGAGGAAGGAGCCTGTGGAAGAAGAAAACAATGTACGGTTAGCCCGGGCGTGTTCGCACTAATTCCGGCGTCCAAATTAATTACTTGCGTCTACATACATCCCTTTAAGGGCGCGGGGGGGATCGCAGTACCTCCTCTGAAAAATCCAGGAAACGCCTGCATATCTCGGTTTTCCAAAGTCTAACTCCAGTACGAAACTACCATCGTAAATTAACCGCCCGCAGCGGTCGCTTGTGTACAATGTTAGTAGCTGAGGTTGTACCCCTTGCGATACACTACAGACTAGCGGTCCGCGATTTTCCAAACGATCCTTCTATCATCGAGTTCGGTGAGCTACAAGCTAGATTTTTGAAGCTGCTGTGCGGTCCAATTTTGAAACGCTTCAAGCACCTTTGCCTAAAGGCTGGACATGCATATACATGACCCTAGGCATTCAAATCGACAATGGCGACCAGCTGGATATGTGAGGGAAGAGCTGCGCTGAAGTTCGCGGCCCTATACACTCACATAGGCGGTGATTCGTGTTCACCGTGTGCTTGACCACACGAGAGCACCAACCCCCGGCGATTTTTATCGGAATATGTTTGAGTTAGTTGCTCTTCGGGTTGTTGCCACACCAGAAACCGAACCAGTACCAGTGGGCATACCCGTTGCACTTCGGAGCTTTACAGCGTGGCAGCGTCGTCAAAGTGGATTTGATATTCAATGTGTTTGATTGTGAGTTGCTCGGCCATGCCATCAGCATGCCACGATCGGAACCTCCAACAGTCTCCGTGGATTCCACGTCATGCGATGCCCGTTCAATATAACAGCAGCTGCTTGCAATAACATGAACAGTACGGTACCCCGTGAGTCAACGTGAAAATATAAAACACGGCAGCAGCGAACTTGTTGTGTCATACTGTATTAAGGAAAAAAAAAAAAACACGGCAGCAGCGAACCACCAACAAGCTGTTACTTAGAAGTACGTACTCTAATATAATAGTATTCACGCTCTCGTTGGAGTATCTTATGCATACAACCCGCTGAACAATCCAACCATCTAAGGACTGCTGACGGGTTTTTGGTTGTTGAACACATCATCGTGCGAAAAGCAAGGGTCCCGATCTGGTCCCGACCTCTCATCATCACATGCGTCGTAAGCCCTACCTTCATGTCTCTACAACACCAAGAGAGGTCTCTTGATCGCAGCGAGTCGATGCAGATGCGGCGAAATCATGATGTATATCGATGGAGCACGCTTTGGGCTACGGCGGTTGTCATACACTGCTGTCAAGGCATTGCTGCTACAGATAACCGTTCACCAGCAGCAGCATGCATACAACAGGCGGGGACCATGGGCTCGACGTTGCCTGTTCTGTTGCATGTGTGTGTCGGGGGCAAGAACGAACGAACAATTAAATCCCTCAAAGGTGCGCCCACCGAAGTCGATCCCTCTGTGCGCACGCGGTCGGTTCACGTCACGATAACGAGGACTCGGACGGTCTCCTTCGTTCCGGCCCTATCCCAGAGGTCCCAGGAACCACGAGGCGTTACCGTACTTGCATACAAAGCGGAACGGCATCTACAACGACGAAGGGCATGGCGCAGACACCCGTGTTTGTTTCAGTCAGCTCTCACTTGAGGTCCTTGCACCAAACGTTCGCGGTAACCCGGCTCCCCAGGCCCTGCCGAGTAGCGAAAGCAGCTGTCGCTGCCTCGGCGTCCTCGTCCCTGTAGTTGTTGTTGGGATCTCCGAGGTTTGTCGCATTGCGATCATTCTCGGAAGAGCTTCCGCAACCCATGCTTAACCCAAACCGCCTTCTGTCCGCCGGGCACTTGACTGTGCTGACAAGGGATAGGTAGCCCCTAGAAGATGACCTCCCGCCGGCACCCGGGAGGATACACGACCCCCTTGTCTGCTGACAACCTCTCAGTTGTTCCGCCGCGCAGCTGCTGTTGTGCAACGACCCGAGCGTTGATCCTGCCCTTGGTTCTGTGCGCCCTGATTTCGATTCCAACACCGCACCAACCTCTATTACGAGCGGACTAGTCTCTTCGTCGCACACTGGATGATAAATGAAGCAGAGAGTTGCAGCGTGCTGCAGGGGATGGGTCGGCAAGGGAAAGAGTCAGCCGCCTGTAGGACCGTTCACTGGAAAATAAAGGCGGTGTGGCCGGCTTCTTCTTGTGGTACTTCTAGGAAGAGGGAAAAAAATGTGGATGATGAAGAAGAGAAAGCTCCGTGGGGACATGGGGCGTGAGCAGGGTACCCTATGCAGTGAAACGGCAGCTGAACCATATTGTTCCACATCGGATGCACGCAAAGATTCCTCGAGCGTAGGACAACACACGAGAGACACCACATGCGAATTATGGCTGTCCCGGGCACTCAGGGTAAAAGCCTGCACCTCGCTTGCATGGACGGAGACGCTGCGGCAGTGCAGGTAACGTGCGAATCGAAATGGTGGTCACGTTGCTGCTGAGAAGGTCGATATGCTGCTGCTGTGATCTCCGATCTCCGACCTCACATGACTGAACATGCATGTATCTATGTGACCACATTATGACCACAATTTCTACGCGTCTGCAGTGTAGGCTAGACACGGCAAGCACGCGGATACTTCAGCACTACGCTGTTGACGGTGCAAATAAACGCTATTATGTAACTGCCGCAAGGAAAGAAGTTCGCAGTTGATCACCACGCCATTTTGTTGCATAGGATTTGCGCATGCACGTGGGCGAGAAAATGGCAACGGTCAACAACCACAACGGCATTTTGGAACTTCGCGGATCATTTGATAGCAGCACACGCTGTACCTCTTGCGCTGACTTGTAGAACAGAGGTACAAGTGTCCTACACACAGCACCATATGTTAGTAGAGCCTTATGTGCATGTTATAGTGTACCATATTATTTTGGATCGAAAATGGTATCTGACCACACACCGTATCGCTCAACGGATCTACAGAGAGCAGACTACCTGTCTGTATGTAGACTGCGGTACAGCAGTAGCGGCTGTTTTGAAAATTTCTCAGTTGACGGCAGCGATTTTGCTTGCCACCACCGTCTGTGTAAAACTCCTGCCCTCCAGCGATGGCTGGATGCCGGCAATTTCGTTGATAAACGAGACAGCTCCGGACGGACCGGCCTCCATCAAGCAGCCAAATGCGGACAGAGCGAGGTACTACACCACCGTCCGTTGTACATGTAATAAGGGGAAAAGTTGACTCTGTGGTGGTTGTCATGGACGGGTAAAACGGCGCCTTACTTCTAGTATAGTATTGTTAGTAACACGCCCGGGTAACACGCCCGGGAACCCTGTGGAGCTGTTTACAGTACAGCAGAGCACAATCGATGGCTTATTTTAGAGACGTACACTTTCAACGCCGCCACATTTATTTCATCACGATGATCCGACTGATGACGATGAGACCATTACGTCCTCTGATCAGGCAGGGTGCTTGACCGCCTTGAATGGTCGCGCCATCGACAATCGAGTTCTCTCGGTGAACGCAGCTAGTCAGTACAGGTCGTGTTGCTCGAGTTCGCTCCTATTCGATCGATATCTTGTCCACGTTCGATTTGAATGTGCGTGTCACTACACTATACAGTACGGGCCCGGAGATAAAAAACGTCAAACTTGGGTCGAGGCTCAGCCCCTTATTTTGGGTCGAAGGACCAGCCGAACTCGTCCATTTCATTAAAAAGGCATTTCTTAGTCCTTTGGACTCTCGCATCCTGCTGATTCTCTTATTTCTTATTTTCTTATTTCTGGCGAAGACACCAAACAATCATGCAGCAGCGGGTAATGCAGCTCGCGGAGGCGCGGAGTAGCTAGCGCGGAGGTAGAGGGGAGCGCGACAATATAACTTACGAACAAAAACCCTGTTGTTCAGCTAGGTGCGGGGTGGGTGGGAGCACCGAGGGAGTAGCAGTGGGACGTTTCTTATGGGACACGCTCCCCCAGTAACCCTTGTATCGCACGATAATGTTTTTTATTGGGACGTTTCTTATGTTGTGGCCGAGAGTGAGCTGTGTTTCTTAGCCCTTTTTTCTTGTTTTTTGTCTAAAGCTGAGCCTTATTTTCTTAACATACTTTTTCTCAATTGCGGGCCCGTACTGTTGTGTGTTGACGAAGGTTGCGAGTCTTCTACTGGGCGCTCACGCGGAGGTGGACTCACTAGACAAGCAACAGAGGACACCCCTCCATTTGTGCAGCGAAACTGGTCACCTGGCCGTAGTGAAGGTACGAGATCAAAAGAAGCCTCCCTGGCCGGCCGTGCGTTCTTTCTCATTTGTGTCTTACCGGTTGGCGTGCTTGTTGCGGCGCTGACCCACGATGGACCCTCTTCAAGAACCAGTTGAAGAAAAGTGAGCATATGCGCGCGACTGTACCGAAGGTCGGCGGCTTCGAGATCCCACTGCTCTGCTACATCAGACTACACCCTGTTGTAAACTTCACCTCTGGTTCCTCTAAGAGACCGTTACGGTCTGTCTGATGCCGTTCACTCCGAAGCTCCGAACCACGCACTTTTATTACCCGAACGCCCGAGGCACGAGGAATCAGACCATCGGCCGTCCTGCACTACTTTAGAGGCCCTCAACACGTTTCAGCTTGATTGGTGCCTAAGTTGTTTCACACAACTATTTGATTGGTTGTGTGCGAACCTTCATCTCGTCTGCCGTGCTGTCTACACCACCTTAAAAAAATATCGAGGATCTCCTAGAGGACCAGCACGGTTGCCCGAGGCAAGCTGCGATGCCAACACGCCTAAAAAACATACACGTGTTCGAATCCCGACGGTGGGGCACATCCGTACTACAGGCAGCGTTCCTTTGGCCAACGACGAACAGGTGCTGCTGGGCTTCAAGGCCAATATCAACGCAGTCGACTTCAACGGCGATACACCATTGAGCAAGGCGGCAAGGGCAGGAATGGTCGATGTTATCGACGCCCTCCTCGCGGCAGGCGCCGAGATCGAAATTCGTGATGTTGGAAACAACATTGCCGGTGACGTCTTCAACAAAAAGGCAAGCAATCGCTTTCCGTTGCGCTCCAAGCTTGTTGAGGTTTTAGTTGGCAAGACGCCGCCTACAGAGGTAACCCTTTGCTGAATGATATTTTTGACCTCTCAGGGAAAGGTAAAATACTCATGCACCGGACTCACGACGTTTTGGGTCGCTGTCTCAACCAACGTACCAGAGTCCCACGCAGGCGTGGCTGCGATTGCTCGTCGACAAAACGGTGATGAAACGGGTGCCGAATACTCGAACGCCTATCAGAGCTGTGTGGGAGGCAGCGAGCGCGACTTAAGTTCATGCCACCGGTTCATCGCGCATCAATTTTTGAAAACAACCGAGTAAGCGGTTGGCATTTACGCTCATGTGCCCGCCTGTGGTGGTTGCAGGTGCCCTTGGAGACTCGTGATAAGGTTATCGCTATGCGCAACAGCCGACAGCAGGAGATTGCAGTCGCCAAACAAAGAGAGGAGGCCGTGCGACTAGCAGAGCGAGCCAAGACAGGTCAGCCCCGTAATCGGGCGTAGCTACAAGTTGCAGACCGCCTTGACTGGCCGAGTCGCTGTGAGTTTGGTTAGTATTGTGTAGTGCCCTGAGTTTGGACGGGGACGCAAAGTTGGCATAGGCATGCGCGATTAAGTCAAGAGGAGGAAGTGTATAAACTCCTATGGCATATTCGCGCCAACTGTATCACTCTCTTGATGCCCGTACAAGGCAGCAAGCAAATGGGTTGGAGCTGTTTCGTTTGTCCATCTTCTGCGAAGTCTCTAATTCACACCTCAATCTTCCTCCGACACCATGCTTTCATCGTTTCCTTTCCACATTTACCAACTACATATCGCAGGTCCGCGAGAGAAGGGGAGTAGGGACGGGGGTTGGGCGTGTTGCTGCATATCCTGACTACGTGTGGCCTGCACTACATATTTCCCGTGGAAGTACCAACTGCTCCCTACGACAGCAGTACCCTTCCTGGGTACGGGAGCTGCCATGGCGGTTCCTTGTGTGGTGCGGGTTGGTGGGGGGCACGTACGTGATGTGTGGCGGTTTCAACCTGTTAAAAATAATTGATGAGTATACTTTAGTAGTAGTAGTACGGTGTTTGCGAACATCTGATTCTGGTCTTGTCTTGGTCTTTTTTATCCCCCCGAGCGCCGAAGTCCGATGGATCTTTAGGAATCTGGTCTTTTGCTTTCGCGAATTGCCCCCAAAGACCCGAGAAAAGCTCCGATTTTATCTTGCTCAGTTTTGTCTTTGAAAGAACAATTTTTTATTGGCCTAGTCTACACACCCCGAGATACTCCCGACGTCCTCCCGACAGACGCCGCACCATCCCGTGGAGCTGCCGAAACACACGCAACTCGGCCGTCATCGATAGGCGACACCATGGTGAACCAACTACATACAGCAGTACCGCCAGCCAGACAGTCAGACAGAGTCACTGCACCGCAGACCCGATGCGCATTGCATGCTGCCGACATGGTGCAACTTTTGCGTTATCTTAGATGTATTTGCGTGAACCGAAGCATGCCGCTCTACATGCATGCTCATAAGTGACACATCAAGCCGGCGTGAGGAGGGTGAGGCGGTGAGGCGGGCGGCATAGATCTCAGAAGTGTGGCACAGGTGGAGGCGGAGGTGATGGAGTTAGGGATGCTTCAAGCGGCGTGGGAGCGTGAGGAGCTGCAGCGCGTGGGTCCTGTGGACCGTGCTGCTGTGATTCGTTTGACGGGGAACGATCGACTCCGTCGACGACTGACTGCGATGTGTACCACAACTTGTTCGCGTGCTGAAGGGGTACACACATGCATGCCTCAGCTGTTTGCGGCGCTACGCTTCCCATGCGCTCCCGGCAACTGAACTGGGCCAACCGCCTGTTCATGAGCGAGTACGTTGCTCCATCAGTATTCTCCATGACTACTTAGTTAGACAGCTGGGGGTGAGCGTGCAGTTAAAGCAGAGTCGTGTAGTAGCCTTGTTGGGGTGGAGGCGGAAGGTCGGAAATAAATATGTTTGGTGTTCCGAGTCGGCTCAACCATCCGTCCGCCGCCGCCGGCAAAGGGGCTCCGTCGTATTGAACGCAACTTCTTGGAAATTTCCGCGTGCTCAAGACCGAAAAAATCACACTCGAGTCTTCGCAAGCAGTTTTGAAACATAATTCTGGTCTTGGTTTTGGACTTGTTTCCGACTTCAAAGACCAAGACCTTAGACGAATCCGCAAACACCCTCGTAGCTGATGACCTGGCGTATGTGTTTGATGTGAAACCGACGTGTCTCTTTCAAAACATTGCCTAGGAAAGTGCAACAAACTGCAACGAGACGTGCCCCAACTAAAAACATATCCTGGACACCGTAGGTTCCTTGGAGTGGTTCCGCTTTTACGAGCAAGGTGAACTCTGGGTGATGAGAGCCGATTGGATAGCAAAACAGATGTTCCACGACGCAGTTCAAGCAACCGATATTTTGGCATTTAAAAACCAAGGCATCAACATGCCACAAAAGTTGCGTTCTCTATTGGTTCCATCTCAAGGTACATTCTTAGTTCCCTTGCACTCCCAACAACCACCAACAGCTCATTCCGTCGCCAATGAAATTACGACATGTCTCACGTAGATTCGGAACACACCGGGAACACAATACCAGGTACAAGATCTTTCAAAGGGTTATATTTACACACGCACTTCGACTAGAATATACATGATTTCGCCGCTCAGAACTCGAGTTGCTTTCCACTGGAGGTACTAGCACTTCCGTGAAGCCCAACCTCCTCAAGGGCAGGGACAGAGCGCTCGGCTGCTGAGAACGGTTCCCCCGCTTGCTGCGTGCCGCGCATCCACTCCACCCACCAGTTCAGCGCGTGGTCGTCGGGTTGTACTTCGCGCCACTTTCGTTCGATGAATATCTTGTGGGCGTCTGCGGCGTACTTCCCGACCCAGTACAGTTCCTTGACGTTTGTCCACGCCTTGGAGAGGTACTCCTCTGAGGGGCATGCACACGACACCAGCAAATGGTCGGAGGCGGATCGCTCACGAGGAGATAAAAAGTGCCATCTCGCTCCATGAGTCCTCGGTAGACGTCACGGACGGAGATCGCAAGACGTATGCTCTATCAATACCAGCGCGCACGTCATTGTGGCGTGACTGCGGAGCCGCTTTGTTTGAGCGTGCCGTCTTCTAAACCTTAGTCGCAGAAACACACGCCGGGGTACCATGGTTGTCCAAACTCGAAGATGCGCCCCGAGGCGATGGCCCGCGTACCTCCCCGTCTTGTAATGTTCGCCAGCCATTGTCCCGACATGTTTTGTTGTCAAGGATATTGCCTCCAAGGAACCAACCGACTTGAAAATGAAGTCGGCTTTCACCGAAACAATTTTGTTTCGACGCGCCCCTTGGGAAGAATAAGTTTCAACATCTTTTTCCCGCCTTGTGCCAATCAGCTTAGTAACAGTACCCCATCATCGTACGCCACAGGCTGCCGTTTCTCTCCCACTTATGCTTAACAGCTTACCATCACGCTATGGAACACCGGCGACCTGTGTGCTTGGGGCCGACAAGAAGGACAAAGGCCGCTGGCTGCGGAGGTGTTGAAATGTTCGCCCAACTGCCCAAGGGATTAGATTCCTGGGGCAGCTAGCTGGGGGAACGCTTCAACACCTCGGCCACCAAGCGACCTTTGACCTTCGCGTCGATGCCGCACAAGGCCGCACGAAGGCCAAAGGTCGCTGGGCTGCAGAGGTGTTGAAGCGTTTCCCGGCGATCCCTTGGGCAGCTAGGTGGGGGAACACTTCAACACCTCGGCAGTCAAGCAACCTTTGGCCTTCGTGTCGACGCCGCACAAGTCGACACGAAGGTCAAAGGTCGCTGGCTACCGGGGTGTTGAAGTGTTTCGCCACTAATCCCTTGGGCGGCTGGTGAAACACTTCGGCACCTCGGCAACCAATCGACCTTTGACGTTCGTGTCGATCCCGCACAAGGTGAGCAACATGTGTGTTAGATCGCAGATTGGTATATTAGGAGAAGCTAATTGGTAAAGAGGTTCCCGGGGGTAACCACGTGATGTTCGGCAGGGCGACGATTCAACGCATCTTAGGATGGTAGTCCGCAGCTTTTGGTTGTGTTTGCAAGGGGGACATTGACCCCGACGACGTGCTTCCTGGAAACAGTCCAAGGACATTTACCGCGAGAGAGGCGTCCGCCCCTTCAAAAATGATTTGCTTGTTGTAAAGGTCAAACGGCGGGAATGTGTGAGGGCATTGCGCAACGAAGGAACGCCACACATAACGCAAAAGATCCCAGAAAGCACATGGCGGGACAGACACCAGGTAACGCCCTGTGTAGCCAAGAAGCCACGTCTCACGTGAAAAGCGGATTATTGCAATGGGTCTTCTTTCCTGAAGCCCAAGAGGGGCCACCACTCGAGTCATCTCGTCCACGCTAGCTGCCGCAGCTACGTCGGCCGTTGGAAACTTTTCCAGAAATCGCACCAGCACCGGGTCCATCTTGCACAGAGTCGACGGAGCCGGAGGGCAGGAAGAGGAGTCAGTTCCACAAAACACGTTGGGATCCCACCTACAAAACTGCGTGCATGCCGACATCCTATCGAACCTGAATCGGCTTGATTTTGCGGTGCAAAACCACATGTCCCAACTCCAACTAAAATTTAGAAATTCAACTCACGCAGCGCGAAACGACAACCACGTTGACCAATCCCAATCCCGCAGCAGAGCAGTCAGTGATGTCGTCTAACATCGTACCTGCGACCTGGTGGTCTGGTTCAGCATAATGCATCCAATCAACAGTTTCCAGGGGTCATCGGCCAGGAGTTCTTCGATCAATCCGAACGGGGATGGAGGAAACGTCCCAGGTCGTGGCTTCTTCAGTAAATAAGCGGACCCGTTCGGGTGGTGCCTGATTGTTGCACAGGCCGCAGGTAGTGGCTGGGGCGAAGTTGTTGGCGTTCGCCTTTTTCTTCGTAGCGAGGGAGGCGACGTTGGGTAGCCGCTGACGCCATGTCCCAAGCCCAAGGCTTCCAGCACCGGCTGGACGCAAGGAAACACGCTCCCCTGTGGTGCCGAGAAAACGTCGAGTTCGGCATATGAATGAGCGGCAGGTGGTAGGAAGAGAGAAGGAGAAGATTGAAGCGTTGAGCCACCCAAGCGCTAGAGCAAAGGATCGAAGAGTTAGTTGAGCCTCCCGTATCGAGTCTAAGGTCATACATCACTGAACTCGACACGAATTGGCTCCATCGTGGAACATGTGCATGCGATCCAGGGTCATGTAGCAAAGGCGTACGTAACGTTTGAGAGAAAATTCCACGCCTTACAAAGGATTAGGACTTGCAGAGATACCCACATCTGGAGCAACGTATCTGATACGCCACGAGTCTTCGGCAGCCTGACCTCCGTCCATTTGGACACACCATCCAGTCAGCACCCCTGTCGATGCCCCCACTCTTGCCACGGCTAACCGAAGAGCGTGCCACTTTCTTACGGGCTCGTAAGCTCGGAAGTAACACCGCTTCTTGCACACGTGGCGCACGCCTGTGTGTTCAAAGTGTTCGCAGCTTTTCAGAGCGACAAAGGCTTTCTCCGTGAAAGCCGAGCCCCAATCGAAGCTGCTGGCGCTGCCGGCACAAGAATCCGGGGTTGACTTGAAGTACTCGCTTCTTCGCTCTCCCTTCAAGCCCTTCAACGCTTTCGGGAGCTGGTCAGCACTTGCTTTAGAGGTAGCCTTGCTTTCAGTATCAAAATGTCGACTTGACACTCTTGGGCAGGGCGCCCTCTTTCTTCGAGTAGCCACTGCTGCAAGCACGGCGGTGGTACCTGTCTCCTTTGCAAGGTCCTCCTTCATAACATGCTCTTCTGTGTGTGTGAGTCGTGCGTACGATAGCAAAAGCAGCCTGAGCAGGAGTGACAATGCATGTAATGAGGTGATCAAGGGGCTTGACGAGAACTGAACTGGGAGAAGGGGTCGAGGCAGACCTGGCGTCCTGTATAAATCGGGGGGATGTGTAGTCCAACAAGAGGAGGGCAGCAAGCTACGATATCATGCCTGTGTGCTTCGTGCACGCGTGCATATCATGAGCGATAGCTGATTCCTGATAACGCAGCGACGAAAACGTATGCCGCAAATTATAACGAACAACCAATAACTTACACACGTTTTGTGCCATCAACAGGAAATGATAAACAAACAAAGCTTCCGTTTGCACGTTTGCACAGGGGGTTCTCACGTGTGCATATTGCTCAAGCTGCTCCCCCGCTCTCTCAATATATTGGGTAAATCGGTTCCGTCGTTGCTTCTTGTACAGATCATGGGCGACCACGGAAAAGCTAGAATGCAAACCCACGAATTCTCTCGGTCACCTTCCATGCAGATACATGAGTGTACAGGTCTAGAGAAAGAGCCTGTGGGTCTGATTCGAACACTACAACAACGACTCCAGGTCATCTTGGTATTACTGATGTACAGCAGTACTGCTGACCAACAGCATACAGCAGTATTACAACAAAAACCGAGAGAACCAACTTCGACCCTCACCAGACAGACAGAAAGGCACACAGGGAAAATCATAAAAGAGACACAAAGAAACACAACCATACCAGACAGAGAGAGAGAGAGAGAGAGGCGAGAGAGAGCGGGTGGGGGCGGCAAGGAAAGCTGCGTCGTGAGACTAAATATGGTATGTGTCTTGGGTAAACGTGTAACATGTTGCGGGAAAAGGCATCTGGTTGCGTAGCACGTAGACTTACATGTACGGCGCAGTCCAGACCGGTGTTGGTTCCCATCCAAGAAAGTTCTTGTTCTCTTTGACGTAGGATTGCCGCCGTATTGTCGGTATGTATACGTTGCGGTGAGATGTTGTGTGGTGTGCTGCGCGGGCAGGCGCTATTGCGGAGATTTCTCAGCATCTCCCCACTCCCCACGGAGCCCCGAGTGCGGCGTAACTCCAACCTGCAGTTGAGCCCTGGCACGAGTGCTGGTCAGCCCTGCTGTGCTGGCTTGCGCTTGCTCCCCAAGTGTAGGAGACGATCCCTGTAGGGGGATAGGCGTTTTAGCCTGTCGTTCCATTCAGTAACCCTTTAGTCTTCTCAGCGTCAAGCTACACGCAAAACCCGGACAGCAAAGTCTACATAACAGAAGAACAGAACGAGCGTTGAACTTTGCCTCCAGCTGGAGATGGACCAACGCCTTGCCGAGGAGGATTCTGTGTGGGACGACGACGTGGCTGAGGAAGGAACAGTAATAGTAGGAATTGGAGACGAAGCAACGCCAGCTGACCATGATACGGTGAGTTGTGTTTGGTTCGTGTGAGGTTGCCTGCGGAGATTCCAAGTGCTCGAGCGGCCAGCTCACGTTCGACGGCAAGCATGCATACGAGGCAATGCTAGATACCGCTGCGTGTAGCCCAGCTCGTAGGAACCGTGACAAGGCGGGGGTGCACACGTGCACACCTTCTGTTGTGGCACCATCGTGTTGAGAACGGGCAACAGAGCAGGTACGTACCTTACATGATAACGCAAATCCATTTTCTGTGCATATCGTGATAACTAGAGCATCCACCATAGTCTACAGCAGTGTCGACACATGCATCCGATCTGGGACGGTTGGGAATATATCCTGACCCAGGCAAGACCATTACGGTTCTACAGCAGAGCAATGCAACCCATAAGGCGCAGCTGCCACTGTAAGGACCTCAGCATACCCCTCGTGAGTCCCGTTTCGGTGGGCAGTTCCCGTTCATGTGATGTAACCTTCTTCCCATGAAAGCGAACTGTTTTCGCCTCGAGTAGGATACAAGAGGATGCAGAGCCGAAGAATCGTGTAAAGGTGAACAAACAACAACAGCAATACAGCACGCACCGATGCAATTGGAACGGAGTGGGGAGCGATGATCACTTGCTTCGGGATGTACACAGTAGGTGTCAACGACGGTCGAAAAGCCGACCCCCCCCCTCCCTTGCCAGGTGTCATGCGAACGAGGAGGTCAACGTTCCGCTATCGAGGTATTTTGCAATGAGCTTTTCGGAGTGGATTCTGCTTTCGATTTCGCCACTCCGCACGGAGCACGAGAAGGGAGCATGGCTGTCAGTCGCCAGAGAGGTGCCAAGAATCCAACGCTCATGCCGGGTTTTGCAGGGTTCACAAGTGTCTACCCGCGTCTCCGGCAGGCGTTGGTACAAGGATGGCGACGGGCCGCCACCACAGGAGAACGGGTGGAGAGTGCGTGTCAGGAGAAGCAAGGTGACGCGAGCTCTCGTCAGGCCGACAGCGGCCAGATGAGCGATGATCCTCCGCAAGCTGTTGGGAATCCCGTCCCACCGACCCCCTCCGAGGTTCTTACGGCGAGCTCTGTTCGAATGATGCTGAGTATGGCCTCGGCATTGAGGACGACCAATCCGGAAGCGCTACAGGTCATATGCAGCACGCTGTTTGATTTGCTGCTGGAGACACCGCCGCTCGTGCTAGCACCGCTCCGTCAATCGCCGTCGTCCGTCGAGGCAACCACCTTCCGGAAGGTCGGCGAATTTTGTGCGGAGCTACTTGGGTCAGCAAATCACGCGGAACACCAACCGGCGCTTCGGCTGTACTTAGCTCTGGCTGTCAGCAAAGGCGAGGTCAGCGGCTTGCTGGAAGTCGTGAACTGTTTCTTGGACCGGGCACGTCTTGACGCGAAGGATGGTGGGACACCAGCACTGTTGCATTTTCCTGGTGGTGCACCGCCTTCGTCTACCGTTGCTGCTAATGACACTGCGAAGCCTGAGCGAGGCCAGTGCAGAGACCGAGACGCGGGGGTTTCGGCTGTGCTTGAGAGACTAGCGAACCAACGTGTACATGTTGACCCGCCGTTCCCCAGTTCCCGTGACGATGGGCCGTTTGGGTGGAAAGAGGTGCTACGGAACCTGGTGGACGACTCTGAACGTGCTCTGAAGGGTAGTGCATCACGGTACTGCATTCCTCCTCTGCGCGAGACTGCGGTATTTGTGCTTGCACATCTCGATCGACTGGGTGCCCACTACTACTTGGGCTGTAAGGGCGAACGGGCACAAGCAGGGGAGGTGGGGTCCCCCATCCCATCTCTTCAGAAGCGAGGCTTGGACGTCCCCTTCTGCTTCGACCTGGCCCCGGAAACGTTCAGACATCTGGTTGATCTCGTGGAGAGATCTTCAGGGTCTATTGAAAAGGCTGTCCATGGAGAGGACGACGACAGGGAGGAAAATACCATAGCAGTGTCAGACGGATATCTGGAATTGTACGTGTTGTCTGCATCCCTCCGCCTTCTGAACGTCAACATTGGAACTCTCCTCGGCAGTGGATTAGGAGTCGAGGAATTCGGGGGCGAGGGTTTGCGAAGATCTCTCCTTCGGTGCTTGCTAGGTCTTGTCAGGCATTGCAAACCCCGTTGGACTCGGGCCGACTTCTCGTCCAGACCGAAAAGCATACCCCATACTGCCGGCCAGGTAGGGCGAGGAAAAGTGGCCGAGGAAGCTCTGCGACTCTTGGTGGACGGAATGGATCTGTTTTACCCGTCACAGGGACTCCAGGCCAGCTTGCTCTCTTCGTATCTGCGTGCGTTTGGGACCAGTAGCGAGTCTCATTCGACGGCATCGCATGCGCTGGTGCTAGAGCTGCTGTGTCGTACGTCTGCTCCAGAATGGCTCCGAAGCTTTCTACCTGAGCGGAGGCATCCAACACCACCCTCTGGAACGTCAGCGTGCGGAGAACTCTTGTTGGGACCCGGGCTCGAGTCTTGCGAGGAATCCCCGCGCAGTCATGAAACCCTCGACAGCTTTGCCAAGGTCCTTCTGGAGTCGTCAAGCGCGCACGCCGTCAAAGAAGTGCGGCATGCGGCCGGGATGATGTCTGTGGGATGCGACTCTGCACCCGGAGCGGAGAGGGTGTTGATGAGCGACAAGTTGAGAGAATCTTCGAAGGAAGTGGGGCAGGCTGTCCTGCGAGCTTTGGACGCTGTGCTGAATCTACGGTGCGTCGACGCGTTCCAAGCGACCAAGGAAGGGCGTGTGGAAGACGTCGACTCAACCGCGGACATCCGAAAGTTCTTGTTGCTGGTGCTACAGGCATCCAGCAACGTCCTTGCCGCCGCCATCGAGGCGCGGTGTTGCGCGACGGCAGCCGATGTGTTCGAGAGGGTGGTTGAAGCGGTTTGCAATGGGTTGGTGGGGACCCTGCTACCATCTTGTCTTGCGTCCGCTCTTGCTCTTCCAGTTGATGCCACGGATCTCCTTCGCGAGCCACTGCAACAGCATCTCGTGCAGTTGACCCGCAAGTTGAGACTCTTGACAATTGCAGGGTGTGCTCCACATGGTTCGGCGCAGAGGTCTCCAAGCGTGCGGTTGAAAGACGAAATTAGAACATTGCAAGCGGACTTTGGGGTGGAAGCTTTGGGGCAGGAGTCACTAGGCAGCGAGAGCGGCGTGGGAGCTACGACCGAGCATCGACCCACGAAGGCAAGCCTAGCTTCTCAAGGGAGGGAAAAAGGGAACGGGGTGATGTGGGGCTGCATTTTGAGCCCTGTTCGGCGGGGGGTGGCGTATTCGTAATATTGTTTGAATTCGGCGTTCTTGGTCAGATTGTCGAACTACAGGTAGGTGCGCTTGCTCTCTGTTGTCGCAGCAGTTGAACCGTTCTCATTAGTGCCGAGAGGGAAAACAGTATCGGTATTTTTACTGTATCCCAAAGCACCACCGTGCGGTTGATTGTGCTCACGTTCAGGTTTTCCGTGCTAATAACGAAAGGATAGTACTCGATGTCTACGGACGCGTAATAACATAGTAAACGGCGAATCACTCAAGCATCGCACTCTACTCCCCGCGGTATCGAATTCTTTAAACAGGAAGGAAACAAACACCCCGAGGCTAGACCAATCGGCAGCAACAAACTTTCGGCGAACTCGCGCATACTGGCACGCGTCGAGCGTTTGTGTTCGGCCCTTGGGGCAAGCTTAGTACGCCGGATGGTGATGGGCGAACCGCGTACGGCCCAGGAGGAGGCCAATGCGCAATGGTTGGTTCATCCGCTTCTCCTCCATGCGGAGGTGATTTCTGGGCGTCGCGAAAGGCTTGGTGACCAACAGGATCATTCCCTGTCGGTGTGCGATACGACCGTGACAACGCGCCCGCAACCTCGAGCGCGTGAAGAAATCTCGAAGGTGGGTGTGCTCCCGAGAAAACTGAGTCAAGGGGACGGATGGGTTGGTATGTCATTCAACCCGTCCGCCTTTGTGCACCAGCTATCAATGAACCCCTCGAGTCGGGAGTCCCGTGCGCTGTCAAGGGCAATGAGACGCGTGGTGTTGCAAGACAGAGGCGGTGACCCAGCAACTAACGACGTCGTGTGGAGTGTGGCTCTAGCAGCTGTGTACCATGCCGGCCTCGCAGGGGAACTGGCGGAGGTAGCTCTCGCAGAGATCAATTGGGCGGAAGGCAACTTCACCGCCGAAAATGTGGCTGACAGTGGGGCTCCAATGAACCCTTCCCCGGCGCTTGTGCGGGCATGGCGGTCCGCCCAAACCACGCGGGCCCGATTGACGAGGGTCACCCGTGCGCTCGTTCTGCAAAGGGCGCGTTTCCTTCTTTTCCTTGAGCCATGGGTCTCCATGAGACGCGTGAAGCGACAATTCGGAAGCCCCCGCGACGTCAGCGTTGCCCGTGCTCTGAAGGGAAGCGAACTGGTGCTTGAATGTTTGTTGAGCCCAGTAGAAACAGCAAGCGCTCGAGATAGCGGCGGCGGCGTCAATGGTGCTGAGGATAGATGTGCCGCGCATTACGTAGATGCGCGAGAAGCAGACCTAAGCGGTCTGCTGCACATCATCGACGCGCGGAGCAAACGAGCGACGACAAGAGCTAGGGGTTTTGAGCTGGCCGCGCAGCTGCTTGATGGAACGAGTTCCGACCGGGCGACCGCTGATGTTTTAAGAGCCGTGGCAGATGGATTGCTGCGAGCCGGGAGTCAACGGCTGGAGCACATCAACCCCGAGGGCAAGGGCACAAGTCAAGCAGTTGACAATTGTGCCACGGAGAGGTTGAACGAGGAGCACGACACGACTGGGCTTCTGTTGCCTCCAGGGCAATTTGCGGGAAAGGATTTTGGACAGGCAGAACCAAACGCTAGCAGGTTGCATTTCGTGCCTGGGACCGAGTGCTGTGATCCCAAGTGCAAATTGGCGCTCGTGGAATCCGTCGCAGGTTTCCTTAGCCGGTGCTCTATTGTTTTGGGGCAGGAGAGAATCGGAGATCGGGGTTCAGCGGGGAACCGCCTTACGCGTCCTTACGTGCTCGTGCACGCCCTTCGCGCGGTGTCCATGGACTACGAGTTCCATGACCATGACCTTATTCAGCGTAGCCAGCTGCTTCCGCCCATCGCAAGTCTCGTAGACGATACCGATCGTTCTGTCGCTGCTGAGGCTTCAAGGGCATTGCAGGCCGTCTACCGCTGTGCTGTACCAGCTGAAGGAGGCATGAGTGACGCGACGTGGGAGCGTGTGGGGGACGGTGCCGACTGTACTTCACAGCGGGCAACGAGAGACGGGTCCGGTACCCCTTTACAAGTTTCGTTCTTCGGAACCGTCCGCAGCATGCTTGAGAGAACAGCCGAAGCGATTGGAACGAAAGCTCCAGGAACATTGAATCACAAGGTCGTCGAGGACGAGGAGACTCCCACCGCTGGCACGCCGGCCCCTCATATCGAGAGCATGGGTGGTGGCGCCGGTTGTGCTTTGAGCGGAGAGAGAATGCTCTCGGGGGAGATGGAGGCGAGAGCGGCTCAGGTTCTGGCTCTAGCTCATGCCTGCTGCCGAGTGGAGTGTGGTAGGCGAGAGCTTGCGAATGTGGTCGCTGTTCGCGCGCTGCTGAGATTGGTTCTACTGGCGAAACCTGAGATGCGTGGTTGGGCATTGCGGGTTTGCCAGGTGACGTTGCCGTGGGTAGCGCCGCGCTTGGTACATGATGAGTTCAGGTAAGCCTCTGCCATGACCAATCTGTAGGGTACGGCGCTCAGGTGCGGGCGGGAGATTTGTATGGATCCGAAGCCGAGAGTGTGTTGCGTGGGTGTCGCCCGCGCTTTTTCTTCAAGCTTTTGCAGACCAGGTTTTTTTTTTTCTCCTTGGCTCCAGTGGCTGGTGCTGTTCCTGGGAGATCGAGATGATGACGGATATGAGCCTCCTTCGTGCTATCGCGGGTAGCAAAGTTTCTCTTGAAGGTGGAAGAGATAGGAGAGATATCGCCATTTTTTCAGATGTCAATACATGTTGATTGGAACTACCTTGTGAAGGCACTGCATTAGTCAGTGAAAGGTGCCCAACCTGTTACTATGTGCGTGCGCAATCCGCCGTCCAAGATCTCTCACACGAGCCTCAGCTGTTATTCACAGTCATCCCCCCCACCCTATGGTGCCCTCTTGCCTTCAAGTTATTGTTTCAAGTCTGGTCTAACCCGCAGCTGCTGCAAAAACTGGGTGTGATAGGCCAGCCGCCCACAGAAGTCCTTGCGCTTGGTCCTCTACTTTTTCCCACCGACAGGTCTATCGTTCGTGAGCGCCAGCCTTCCTTTGAAGGGTCGTTCGTCGAATGTGCTCTTTTCCTCGTAGGCCAGATTGCCGGAGTCTGGACAACGCTTGAAGGCGGTGCGTCTGAAATCCATAGCGACCCCCCTGCATCGCCTCCAACGGCAGACAAAGGATGTGTGCTGGACATGCTCCTGGCACCCGCCGGATTTCGAGCGTGGCGGGAACGGGTTCCCGCGAGAGATGCGTTCAGGTTTGTTGGTCGGAAAAAGACTGGAGAACATCTCGATGCTGCCAATGTTTTTACGATCCAATGAAGCTTCCGGGTCTAGGAGGTTCGAAGGCATATGGGCGGGCAATATTGAATAGGAGATCGACGCAGGATACGCTAGTCACCGGCTGCGTGCGTGTGCACACGCAAAGGAAGACGTGTTCAAGGACTGTTTTCCTACATATGCGTATTTTTCCATCTCGAGAAACCGTGTTGAATCTGCTCGCAAATGGGCACCACCATCCTGACGAGGCGTACGCTTACCCACTGCACAACAACCTTGCTTGGGGTGTGAGTGTGGGTTCGGGATAGGGTTTAGGGATGGGTTAGGCCTAGCGAGGCCTAGCGCCGTGGTGTAGCTTGAGGGCTGGAAACCTGCTAGTGGCTTTGGTTTCGGGTCTGCCTCCAACCATAACTCAAAAACTGTTGAACTGGCGAGTGCAAAAAGGTCGCCAGCTTTGGTGTATGTACGCGCATCCCCACGATCAAATGGGTCGGAAGCAGCATAACCTCAAGGTACCCATTCTTGTACCCTTCTCTCTTATGTGCACACACCCCGCGCACAGTTTGTCTTCCGAGCTGGTGTCTCTTGTGCATGAGCTGGCCGCGGGGGCAGATACAAAGGGAGGTGAGAGCGCGGGGAAGAGGCCGTCGGACTATTTACCGGCGTGGCAAGAGGAAGTCGCCACGTTTGTCTGTCGGTGCCTGCAGCGGGCGGGTCCCATCGTGGAATCGCTTCAAAAACACAAAATGCTGGAGGAGACGAGACTCTGGGCGGAGGCGGCAAGAGCTCGTGGGCAACTTGGTGTCAACCGTGAAGGTTCCACCAGCGCTGCTGTGATCGAAGGGGGGGATGAGGCGGAGCCAGCGCCGCCATCTGCTGACGACGTCGACCGTCTCGTGGCGGTACTCTGCCTGCTCGGCGGCCAGTTTGAGGGCTTGTACCCGGGGGGCAGGGTACTCTGTCGCTTGCCCCCTGGAGAGAGCTCTTCCGAGGTCCCCGGCGGGTGGGAAGACAGGCCAACAGTAGAGGCGACCGTGTTACGGCTCCCGTTCTCTGGAACGAAGTCGCCTGGTGGCAACAGCAAGCCCGTTGGAGACCTACCTGCGGATGAGACGACATCCGCGGACGGTGGTAGTGGTGATGGGGCCGGGAGCAGCGGGGTCGAGAGCGCAGAAGGGCAGCGGCATATGGCGAGTCGAGTGTTCTCGGCGCGATTGTTGCCGCGCCCGGCAGGTTGCACTCGGCCGCTGGACGTCTACGAGGGACTCGCCGATGAGGGGTTTTCCAGGGACGCGGAGGCGTCGACAGCCGTCGCGAGGCCGGTGCACGAACAGCGACGGCTGGAGCGGCAGGAGCGACTGATGCAGGAGCATCGAGCCCTTTCGCTGCGTATGCAGGGTGGAAGGTTCGGCAGAGTTTCCCGTCCACATGGTCAAGGCAGGATAAACGTAGGGGGGGAGCAACCTCTGCCCATCGTGGGGCAATCACTGCTCTTGTCAAGGAGAGGAAGGGGGGAGGAAGGCATGGCGACGACGGACAACCCTGCCGGCGGTGGTAGCGTCTCTGCGTCGGCTTCTCACAGGAGGCAGCAGCCAGTCAGCGCCTGCGAGGAGTTGGTTACCGTGGGCTTTTCGCGAGATGACCGAGGAGTCGCACCCGCTCCCCGCGCGTTTACTGTTCCTGCCGATAGCGTGACCCTGGTGCACAAAGGGGTGCCAGGAGCGCTCGTGAGGACGCTGACCTCGTACGCTCTGGAGTTCCTCCCTGGGCTGAAGGCTATGCTGGAAGCTGAAACGACGTTTCGGGGTGCGTGTACACTGCGGAGCGTGCCACCGTTCGTATGTGAAGGCACGGGTTTCAAGGAGAGCCGGTTGCTAGACAAATGCTTGAAAAAACCCGATCACGAGATCATCACTGGCCGTTACTAGGATGGCCATCGACTTCTGTTTTAGGCATACATCCATCTGTCTCTGCAACCCCCCCGGCAGCGTTTTCTCGGGTTTTGAATTAGCTGTCAAGCGTTATTGTGGTCACCCTCCAATACAATTCTTATGCTGGCTTGCGCAGGGCCGACGTATGCACCATTGCAGAGCGCCTCGAGCCGTGCGTGTACCGTCGAGTCCGCGCACCCGTACCAACCAGGCGAGGACCACATGTGGCCTATCTCCGTAGCAGGCGCGGAGACCGTCGAGGTGGGTGGGTCCACGGTGCAGCCAGCCACGAACGACAGGGCTGACGATGTGGTGGACAGGATTGGAGATGCACTCTTAGATAGTACGACCCTTTTCGGAACGAGCGGCGGTCGGGTACAACTGGTTAGATGGGGTGTCATGTTTTCGCGGTGGGGTGTCATGGTTTCGCCAACAATTTTTCCATTTGCCATGCATTGACCCGATCGATTATCAGTTTTCCGTATATCCCTACGCTTCGGATCCAAGAATCTCTCCTCGGCCCCGTCTTCGCTGTGCTCCAACCCGCCTCGGTCGTCAGCTATCTTTTGACCCGATGTCGCGCGTCGCCCGCCCGGAGGACCACATCGCTCTCAGCTGGCGGACGCCGTCCGGAGGCAGCGGCCACCGTCGAGTCTGCCCGTGCTCCCCAGCAAACCACAGCAGTGGCCGCGGGGGTCCCAGACCCTGCGAGGACGACGACGGGGGAAGCCAAGCCTGGCCGGGGGTCGGAGTGGAACCTCCTCTGTTGGTGATGGCGGGAGAATTGACTGTGCGGTTCGTAACTGACATCGCCCTTGACCCCACTTCGGCTGAAGCGGGAGCTGCCTCTGGAGGGGGGGACGATGAGACGTCGGGGGCACGACCGACGGCGACGCGGGCATGGGGTTTTCGTCTGACAGCCGTAAGCCCAAAGGTGCGGTTTTCGCAATCCCTGCAGTGATCAGACTGCACGTGAAGCCTGCCTCGTCCGTCGTTGCGGCATAGAAGGAATGGTCGAGAAGGGCGATGTTTCCAACGCCTCTTTCGACATCATATCGTTTAATTGACCCCCCTTAATCGTACAACACCAATCTCGTATATTTCTCCTAGGTGTCGCCGAAAACGCCGCGGCCTCAACCACCATCGAAAGCGCGGGCAACCTTGTGCGACCTTCGCGCCCGTGCGTCCTTGGGTTTGGCGTCGCTCCTGGAGCACGGTGAAATGTCCGCAAGACTCGCCCCTGTGTTGCCGGTCTTGGTGAAGGCTGCCCTTGGAGCTGCCTCAGAGGTGAGAGGGTTGTTGTGGTGCTGTCGTGTGCCCTCTGCTACCCTTGTGTGCGGAGGACACAGCCGCCGCCAGTCACCAAAGAAAGGATCCTCCCCTCGGTTTTGGCTGGAACATCATGCAGAACGGCTTGTTTTCTTCCAGTTGATGGTTTAGTCTCTACCCTTCCCCTACCCCGGCGCCTCGCTGCATTGCTTGCGCTGCTCACACCGCAGCAACACACCCTTGCTCTTAACTTTACGATACCCGTTGCGTGCCATGGGGGATCAAGGTGGCGATCGGTGGCGATATTCCCGGCGCCGGGACTCCACAGCCGTGGCTGGAACGTCGACTGGCTCGTGCTTATGACCTCCTTCACAGGCAGGCGAGTCACATCTCGTCAAAGTCGACACCTTCTCGCTGTGCACACACACGCCTTCTTTTTCGCACACATACCCATCAAGGAGTGCCTTGCGCGGACTGCAGTTGTACGAAAACGGGGTTGTACTCGCACACTTTCCTAAAGCTGAACTAGGAGGTTAAATTTCTTTTTTTGTCTTTTTTCGGACGACTGCTGCATCGCTGGCCGTATGCTGCAGACACCCGGGGCATGCGAAAGAGTAGAAGACCGAGCGAATGGTAATCACAGAGTGCATGGCATGCAACCAGGCGCGTGTGCCGCATTGACAAGGGTATGCACTTTCTACATGTAAGGGATAGAACTACGATGTTACGTCCCTTTTTTCATTTTTGCTGGTGGGTGGTAGTTGGATGACCGCGATGCCCGTCTCCTATTTTGCTGCCGCTCAATACCACCGTCCCCGTGTTATCCCAGCGCGGACCTCCATCGAGGTTACCGGAAGCCGATTTCGTCCAGTTTCCCTACAGCATCGGCGCCACCCCTCCGCCGCAAAGGGATACCTTGGGCGAAAGCTCCACTGCTGTGGCCACTAGCGCCGATCGCCTCGTCACTTCGCCGTCTACGGATTCCTGTTCGTCGGGATCGACCGCTCCAGAAGCCGGATATGTGGGGGGGGCACTACCTCTCGAACAATTCAGCAGCACCGCAGTCGGATTGTGCTCGGACTATCCATGGCCCAGGTGGGACAAAGAATCGAGGTGCATGCACTTGAAGCACTTTCGGCGTGCCGAGCATATTCTTCTCTGGTTCGCACACTCCTTTGTTGTCCATCTTACAACCCTGTTAGCCCTCACAACATACGAATCATTTCTTGTCCGTCTTGCAACCCTGTTATTTATTCCTCCTGAAATATAATGGGGCCGTGTTTTGTTGATGGTAGTGTTGATTTCGGGTGCTATTGTCTTCCCCGATGAAGATGCTCAACATCTCCCTCGATGCCGTTAGTGCTATATTTGTCTATTGTGCCAGTGTTTGATTGCTGCTGCTGTACATATGTGCGTGGTGATCCTGGTGGCAGGCGCTACGTCGTGTGCATTGGCGGCGTCGCAGCTTTCGACAAGCCGAAACTGGCCAACGGTGACGGGTCGAGTTCGCGGCAGTTGGCACGGCTGAGGCACGGAGCAACTGTGGCAGTGGTGGCGCAGCAACGAGATTGGCTGAAGGTATGATCTCGCGTTGAAAAAATCGCGCGCATTTCGACAGGCGTCCAACAACCAGAGATTGTTTTGATGTAGTCAGCGAGTTACGAAGCTACACGGGGCTTGTCATCGCCAGAAACAAAGTCTGGTTGCTTGATTAGGTGTGTATGTGGAAAGTTGTCTGCTGTTGGTGTGCTGGGAAAACGAAAAACGGCCTCTGGATGCCTCGACACCAGGACGAATGTTGGTGACATTACAATACGACGGCTTACATATTTAAGTGGCTTCAACACGCGTATGTCCCACCATCGCCTTTCTCCCTCGCTACTCACCCCGACGTTTCTCTCTCTCTCTCTCTCTCTCTCTCTCTCTCTCTCTCTCTCTCTCTCTCTCTCTCTCTGCTCTCTCTCTTTCTCTCCCAGGTGATCTACGATTCCAAGGCAGTCTTCACGCCCACGACCGACGACCAACTTCGCCACTCAACATCACTCGCGGACTTCTGGGTCCGGCAGCGGCAGGACGGCACGTTTTTCCTCATGCCGGAGGCATTGGCGGGCAAGGAGCTGGACATGGAAATGGTCCCCGATTGCCCCGATCTTGGCAGCAAGGAAGGCGGTGAAATTGTTTCCATGCTCCTTGGGGACGAGTACGACGATGAAGAGGATGCACGTTTCGCGCCACTGGAGGGGGAGATCGACCGCACGGACGCCGAGCGGAAAGCGGCGCGCTCTACGGAGGGGGTGAGTGGTAAACTTCCAACCATGTTACGCCAACGGTTTCGTTCGTTTGTGTTTCGGTTTGATTCCGTCGTCGACGTTCGTGTTTCGAAGGTGCCCAACTATTCGTTGGGTCTTGGGTCGTTCGCGTACTGTTGTAGGTTAGAGGTGGGCGGTTCGTTCCCTGGTTATGGACAACATGCTTAGCTTCGCCAGTACTTGCATGTTTGTAGGCGCCAGGCAACAAGCGCCGTCGGCGACGATTATGAAGTGTGTGCTCGGTCTGTAACACTTGTGTGTCACTCATTCTGCGATATCGTATGTGAAGACGCCCTCAATGCAGCGAAACCAGAACGGCGATAACACGGAAACCCCCCAGTCCACTCGACGTCTGCATACAATAGCCACCTTCCCGTCTATGCTCTGTTCCTCCGTTAGCATCGTGCACAAGGTCGACCGTACTTACGAGGTTCCGAGTGCGTCTAGTAGTGTTTCTTTGCATGCATTCCCTGAATTCGTCGTGCACCCCCGACCTGTTTGGCGATTTCGTCAGTGGGATGCCGCGACAACTCACTCCCCCGGGGATGTGGGCGGAGGAAAAGCGATCGCAGATGACGACGATCAGCGGGACGTCGAAGGCCAGACCGGCGGTGCTCTGTGGGCCTCAACGGTAGACACGTGAGAGGCCTGCTTTGGTTTTGCGTCATGAACCGGACAACTTGTATCGGTTTCAGTCATTGCAAGTAATTCCAACGATCCGGTCCTCCGTTCCTACGAGGTTTTCGAGTCTAAATTTTAAGAAAGGTTAGGCGTTGCCTGAGAGCGAGTAGACCACAGGTTGTGTGTAGCTTAGCTGATTGGTTGCACGAAAAATGTGTCCGGTAGAGCGTTCCCGTTTGGTTCGCACATTATATGCGATTTCAACAACAGCCCACGTCTCGCAGATGTTGTCGGGACCGTGGAACGTGACGTGTTGGTGTACTCAGTACTAGATACGGATCTACGGAGATCCAGGTTACCCCAATAGTCTAGGTACATCCTGCTCTCTTGCGAACCCTCAACGACCAAACCGACTGGGTCAGCAATACCGTGCTGCTGCTTGCCCGAACGCCTCCGTAAGTCTCCCGGCTTCGTCGACCCGCCCGTCGACCGATTCCCAAACGCCCTGCTCTTCGTCTCCCCGTCCGACCACAGCCTCTGTGCCGCGACCGCGACGTACGGAGTATCCGCTCTTCTGGCGGTGGCGGCGCGCTGGCAAGCTGGGGCCGGGAAGCCGTCTTACTTGGATCTCTTCGGCTCCGCGCGGAGCTTGTGGGAGTTCCTTCGGCTGACGAGCGTCATCGAAAAGGTGAACCTATGGTCTGTCGACGCGTGTGGCGCTGTGCGGCAAGGGTTTGCTACTCCGCCGGGGGATGGGTGTCCGCACCCGCCGACGTGGCTTTGGCGCGGAAACGAAAATGGGTGTCTCTTTTCTCTGCCGTCGTCACCATGCAAAGGGGTTAAGCGTTCTGAAGCCATCCGCGTTATCCGAATCCGATGCGAGATGGAGTACCCCCTTTTGAACGGAATCTCCCCGCTCTCTAAATGGTATTACTCGCCTGTGTGGTTGAATGAAGACTGAACGTGGCTCAGTCTCAAGCGCATGAAGCCCACACGCATTTTGGTCATCTCTCTCTCTCTCTTTCTCTCTCTCTCTCTCTCTCTCTCTCTTGTGCGCTGCGATAGGGCGATCTACAGTCAGCAGCCTTTTCAACGCTAAAGCAACACGTGGGCGAGCGCGTTGCGAGCGAAGGGGGAGGGGCATTCGGCGGACGCCTTACGGGGCATGCGCTCGGTGCTCTGCGGAACCTCGCGGCACAGCCTAGAATCAAGGCCGTGGCACGTGTCTTCGAAACGCCCCACCCATATCAAAACAATATGGTGAGTGGGCACGCTTGAGAACGCGGTTTGTGTTGGCCACCACACCGTCGAAGACTAAATTATGGCTGCTGGGACGCGGTAAAATTAGGGTTCTGAATCAATAGCGTTTTGACGCACAATTGACATGCCGACCGAAAAAATGTCAGGTACGTGCTGCTATGTACAGCAGTAGTCGGCGGCGATGCGGGGAGAACGATTTCCACCAGCAGCACTGACGGCGGTGTCCCTTGTTTATTTTTCGTTTGGAGTTGTGAACCGGAGTCCTTTCCTCGCGTTCGGCGGACGACCAAGTATTTTGTCGCTGTGCATTCGCGCTAACCTATGCAAGGATACCTGCGCGTTTCTGGACGCTTGGCTTCGTCCATGCCCCGGCATCCTTCCTCTCACGCAGAATGTGGAGTGGGACGTGTACCTGCCCGAAGCGAAGAGGATCAAGGTCGTCTTCGATCCTCGCTCTCGTACGGAAACCAGCTGCGACTGGGTGGACATCATCCTGCAGGACCCTGACGGCGCCGCTGTCCCTTCAATATTAAGTCGAGGGCTGCACCACCGCTTTCATGGGCAGGGCGGCCGCGAAAACTTCCCCGGTTTCGGCGGCCGCCTACCGCTGTGGCTTGAAGGGAACCGCTTCGTCGCTCGCTTCCAAAGCGACCCCACCGCCACTGATTGGGGGGTCCGCTTTACTGCCTACGGGATACTCGACTGCGATGGGAGGGACAGCAGTGGTTGTAACGGCAATGGTACGGTAGTGGATGGGTTGAACGTTGATGATGCTTCGTGTGGCCCCACAAACGGGGCGGCGCAGGGCGTGGCCACACCGGCACCAACGGGCGTTGTGACCGGTACTACTACTGTGGCCGTTCCCACCTTAGTGGCAAAAGGACGAGCAGGGGCCCGTGAGGTCGAGTTATGCTGCTGGGTTCTCGACTCGCTAAGTCGCGAGGGACATGCGATGCCCGAGGTGGCATCGCGCCTGTGCGACAACAGCGCGTTGGAGGCGTTTGAGGCATGCCTGAAGACCTTTTCTCAGGAGCGGCGACTAAGCATCCTACGGTTCATCACCGGCATCGTTGCGAGAGTTGGACCAACGGCGGGAGCGGAGGTGACGGCAGCGGGTTCCTCGGCCGTGGCTGACTCTCCGAACTCACGAGCATCGGCACACCCGTCGTACGCGGACACCTGTCGCCTGCTCCAGGCCGTCCTCTCGCTTGCCGAGACTCAACGAGCCATCGAAGATGGATGTTCGGTGGCATCACCGTACTTGCAAGGGCTTGTGGAGTGCACCGTGGTTCTGCGCAATTTTCTGGTCGATTTCGCAGACTGGCCCAAGAGTCCAGGGCCTGAGAAAGACAGACTCGGCACACCTCCTCGGGCAGACCATGCTGCTGAGCGGGATGCCAAAGAGGCGGAGAGGCACTGTGATCTTTCACCGGGAGCCGAAACTGCTAACGCTTCACCTGCTGCTACTCGGGAGTCACCAAAGACTTTGGAAAGGAAACTTTTGGGTGGTGGTGGTGCAGGGGCGGAGGCCGTTGAGGACGTGGCTTCAATCTGGTCAGCGCTGCGTGATTTTTCCCGGGGTACGGCTCCAGGGCGTCTGCTGGTGAAGGATTTCCTGCCGATGTTGACCGAGGCCTGCTCGGTGATAGTCCAGAGCGCCCACCCCTTCGACCGGCTGGCGCAACGCCGCGTCGTCTTGGTTCCAGGCGCGGTAGGGGTACAGGTGCGGTTCGACCACCGCACGGAAATGCGGCAGGACGACCGGATCGTCATCCGAGATCCAGCGCGTCGCCAGCCAGTGGCAGGAAGGTCGGTGGTTGCGACAACGCTCAGCCAACATGCCGACTCGGGCTGCTGGTCGGGGATCGGAAAAGACGCGCCGATGGTCGAGAGTTGCAACCTGCTGCGCGATGGGGGTGAGTTGGGCTTCTCGGGACTGTCGGGTGGACGATCGGACGATCTCCCTCTCGTGTCGGTCGGCGATCACGTCGTTCGCGGCCCTGACTGGGCGTTCGGGGATGAGGATTGCTCCGGAAGACAGCAGCAAGGGTCGTCGAGAATAGGGACAGATCCTTCCGCACAGGCCTCTGCTTCTTCTCGCTGCTCCCGGCCTCGAATTGGCGTCGTCGTTGCGCTAGAAAAATGGGGAGAACGCGACGCCGCTGGGGTTCGAGTGCGATGGGCAACGGAATACGTGGACACCGCCGCCGCCGCCGCCGCCGGAGCGAAGAGGGACCAAGGAAGAGAAGGGTTTGAAGCCCTCTACTGCGTGCAAAATCCGGCTCACGTGTGCGTCGTTGAGCGCGGGGGAGATGACCGGGCGCGGAGACCAATCGTCAGGGCAGGTTCCTCTGTTGAGGTAGAGGTCGTGCCGGGTGCGAGCGGCAAGGGTGATGAAACCACGCCCCCCACCTCTGGAAGTCCGAGCGACGCCCACTTGTTCCGCTTCGACGGAGAGTCAACCCACGTCGACCTGCCCAGCTACCGAGGCATGCGCCTCGAGGGCGACTTCACGCTCGAAGTGTGGGCGTGGCTTGACCTCGGGTGCGCGCATGACGGGAAAACAAAGTGCGTTGTTTCGAGGGTGCTTCATCAGCCATACCACCAGGGCAGGCCCGCTGCCAAGGCGCGCCGGTCTCCTTCGGGAGAACACGCAAGGCGGGCGCCTTCTAGCTTGGCTACGGCTGACGGAAGCGAGCAACCAGGTAGTCCCCCCCCGGTTCATGTAAGAGTCGGCGCAGACGAGTCATCGGAAGACTTGGCTTGGTCCTCGCCCGTTTCTCCTCACGAAGTCCAAAGCCGTGCGCGCTCTGCCACTGGACCCTCAATACCAGGCGGGGTTGTAGCTGCAGGAGCCGCGGCGCCACCGCGAGTCGATGGCGGCTTGTCGCCGATGGAAGGCACAAGACTTGTCTCCCCGCCCGCATCGTCGCCTGGCAACGCTCATGTTGGGGTGAAAGAAGTGGACCAGCACGGGGCCGACGAAGTGGGTCGGGGAGGGGCGGGGTGGGAGCGGGTCCGCCTTGAGAAGGGGTTAACGTCGGCGAGCGGTGCCGTCAACGGCTTCGCAGACGGTGGGTTACCGCAGCCCTTGCTGCCAAGCGGTGGAACTGGTGCAGGTGATAACGAGCGAGGGGACGAGGAGAAAACAGACAGATACGCGTGCGGAGAAGAGTCAATTTTTGTCGAAGGTGACGACGGGATCGAGGAGAGTGAGGACGACGAGAACGACTGCGAGGTAAGCGAAGATGGGCGAATTGGCCGAGCGACGGCTGCTGCTAGCAGGGTGTTTCGGGGATGGCGCTCTTTGGCGCGTAGCTCACGCTGGTGCTTTTGCACGAGTTTTGAGAACGTCGTGTGTACGAGCTGTTATACATGTAGGAATTGCCGCACAACACCTGGACGGGCATCAAGCAATCGAGAAGAAACAGGAACAACGCTGCCCCCGCTCCCCGCCGCCCTTCCGGGTCTTTAGGTGCGCGAGGATAACGGCCGTGCCAACAGCTACGAGGCCGATGACAATGGGAAGTTAAGCCTAAGCTTCGAAGACGCTGTGCCGAGTGCCCCGCAGGATGTTGTCATCTCCAGCGTCACGGACAGCAGCATCAAAATGAGTTGGTCCCCCCCAACTCGTGTTGGCCGCCCAGCGCTCCACAGGTGTATTACCTGTCAAAGGCGGTGGATGTCTTCGAGTGTATTTGTTCGCACATGTTGGATTTGTTCTGATTCTCGTTCGTTCTCGATGCTGGCTGTTGTTGAGGTTCCTCGCTTGGATGACAAGGAAGCTTGTGTGTTTTCTGCTATTGGTAGTACAGCTCTACCTGGATGGCTTTGACCTGTTCTCCCCTTGCCATGTGATGCCTTGGTACTTCTGGCAAGCTGTGCTTATATCCTACCCTGTTTTGAAAGTTTCCCCGACTTGATCTCGCCGGCTGCCTGTGATGGTTGGCTCTTGCCTGCTCGTACTGACACGACACAGCTATATCATCTGCCTTGATGATGTGGAGATTGCCTCTGTGGGTGCTGACACGCTGGAGTTCTCCAACACCAACCGTCCACCGGGGTCGTTGTGCACCTACAGGTGAACTGCTGTATGTGGTGTGTCGTTCATCCTCGAGTCAGTGTCATTCCCCTTTATTTCCCTCTTTGACAAGTCTGGGCGTATTTTCAACCCAACAGTCGCTTAGGCACCTCCAGTTAGTGCTGTGTGGCGTTCGTCGGCACCTCATATCCTGTTTTCCACACACCCCCCCTCCCGTTCCGCAGCGTGGCCGCTCGTGGGGCAGCGGGTACGAGCCCCTGCTGTGCACCGGTTGTAGCGGGCACAACCACAGAGGACGACACGAGAACGCAACTGGCGCTTTGGGTAGGGGGTCGGGGCGAGATAGAATTTTCCATGGAGAACGAGCGCGGGAAGGGTGTTCTCCTCGGAGCAGGACAGTTTCGGGAGGGCATGTGGACGCACATGGCCGTTTCCGTGGAAGGCCGTAGGGTAGGTTCTCTGCGCGCAAAGACCGTTCGCGGTGCGGCGCCCTCAGCACTTGACTGAAACGCGGAAACGACATACACATTCCGTTTACGGTTTTTCAGCTGTTTTAACCCGTGGCGTTTGGTTTCTTGTGCAGAACTCAACAACGTCGCTTTACGGTACGAAGCAAGGGACGCCGTTTCTTCACAGTTTTCTTTGTTCTCCGGCGGGATACTGTGCTTTAGGTGTCGTGGGCTTGCTGGTGGAATCACGTGGCTCCTCCGATATTGGAGGCTTCCATCCCGCACCCCCTTTTCTTGCCGTGTGGAAGCCCTTTTATCGTGCTGGCATCACCCCCCACTTTTCTCCTTCCCCCGGTTTCCCCTCCGTCCTAGGTTTCGATGTTTGTCGACGGCGAGCGTCGAGCATCCGGCACGTTTGTGGGCCACCGGCTCTTCTCCGGCTCTCCATCTCTCTCTGCCTACGACCACCAACACCAACACCAGCATCGTCGGCCGAGCGCAGAACCTCTACGCCTGGGAAGCAGAGGCGCGCAAGACTTCTGGCGTGGCCGCCTTTGCGGGATGAGGGTGTGGGGCGCAGCGTCACAAGCCTTGGACATAAGACGGAGATTTTCCTCCCTTCCCTCGGCGAGCTTTGTCCGTCCTGCACCGCCGTCTTCCTTTGGCGTCGAAGTTCCTGGCACCCAAAAAACGATTTGCAGGCTCCGGTTGCACGCTCCCTTGCCGGACCCGTCGGATGGTGAGGTATACCTTACGCCGCCAGGGGCTCCTGTGCGTGATCGGGAAAGGAAAGCCTACTACGAGGTCCGTTACTTGCAGGGTGTGTGTCGATCCAAGGGAGAGGCCCCTGTTCGTACTCTAGGCGGATGTGGTACGTACTAGTTTTCAGCGTTTGTGTATGGGAAAATGCTTCTGCGTGGACCAGCTGTTTCTAGGCAGAGTTGCTGTGTTGGCTGCACCCGAAACCTGTGCGGGAAGTAAACCATGTGTGGTTGACCTACCGCCCGTCTCGTACTCTGCGTACATTGGTTGATGTGTCTTTGCAGCCCGACAGCTACTTGTTTCTGCAGCGCATATATCGTACGAGGATCACCCTGCCTTGAACCGGGGAGGTTCACATATCTCCTGTTCTTCACAGCTCGGGCGGCAGCACCTTTTTACCGGCCGCTCCCTTCCTGTCGACCCGCCCCTCCCGCTTTAGGTGGTCCTACGATCCGGCGGGTGCATGCAGATTGGCTGGGCGCTCCCCTCTTCCTGCCCTTCCTCTCACATCCTAGCGGTGGGCGCCGACGACAAGAGCTGGGCTGTTGATGGCAAACGGTCCGCCAAGTGGCACGGCAACGTCTTGCCGGCTCCTTCTCCCGCCTACGCGCATGGTGTGCCGCACGGGGCGGACTGGGAGTGGGCAGCAGGGGACACGATTGGCTGTGCTGTCGATCTCGACGAGGGGGTAATGTCGTTCAGGTGAGAGCGCGGGAGTACTCTCTCTCCAGGGAGACGAAGCTGTCGGTGGTGGTGCAAAGGTGCTCAGCGGGCGCTTGAGTCCGGGGGGGCACTACTCTGAGAACATGCCTAGCTCTGGGAACTTTGTCAGCTCCAACCTTTTTGAACGATTACGTAGACGAACGACAGCGGCAGTGTAGTCTCTATGGAAATCGTGATGCAAAGTTCTGCTTATTTTTTCTGATGAATAGTGGACTGCAATTCCAAGAAATTGTTTCAATAATCTTCAATGATACGGTCTCTCTGCATATTGTCATCTCCCCTCCTTCCCACTGACCCGTCAAAACCAACCGGTGGTCGAATCTTCCCTCAGCCACAACGGACGAAACCTGGGAGAGGCATTCAACCGCGCAACCACAGGCCGTGGTGTCGGTCGATACCGAGTCATCGCACCCCGCGGCGTCGAGTGCCGACTTGGTGTCGACGAACAGTCTCCAGTGGTTGAAACTTACCCCGCAGGAACCGTGCTGCAAGTCTCCCGACTCGAACGATTATCAAGAGGGGGACGCTTGCGCTTGCGCACAGCCGCGGGTTGGGTTGCCGAGAGGGATGTTGATGATCCGGACGACTTCCACTTGGAGCGTCTAGAGCGAGATACGAGCGACTCTGCCGACTACGGTACCGGTCCCGAGCGCTGCGTATTTGTGGACGTGCTAAGAAGTGCTTCTGAGTCGGCGGCGCCTGGGAGAGGCAGAGAGGGCTGCCTCCGGCCCGTCACGCCTCTCCACGAGTGCAAGGACATTGCCGTCGGAGAGGGTTGGTCCGACGTGGTTGCTACCCCGGAGGGTTCGGCAGATGGATGCTTGGTGACCGCCGCACATACCCAAGACGCGACGCCAGGCAAGGGCCAGCCGCCACCAACGCGGAGCTTGCTCACGAGAGGCGTGAACGTCGGGACCGCGGACGTGGCGACCTTCTTCATCGAACTCTTCGTGCCGGCTTGCGAGCCCGCCGCCACCGACGCTTTTGACGGAGGAAGATGGGCATGGGGTGTGGTCTTGGCTGACTTCAACGCCTATCTCACGACCCAGTGCAGGGCGACCAGCACCACGCGGGATGGCGGCGGCGGCGGCGGCGGCGGCAGCTCTGGCGACGAAACGGTTGCACCGGGGCATGAGGTCGCTTTAGATGGTGACAAGGACCGCCGCCAGAGCACTGCTGGAGGGTCGCTGCACGTCGTTGTCGACGGCCCGGGCGGCGTCTTCCACGCCATACCCGTGTGCTCGGCGTTCCGGGGGCGGTGGATGAACATGAGGATAGTGGCCCACAGGTCGGGAGAGTCCTTGCTCGTTTGCACTCCAGGTGCCGAACAGCCCCACGACCACCAGCAAGCCACCGATAGCGATGCCACCAGCGCGATACCCCGGGATCACGAAGACGCGTCGGTTTCGACGTCGACCAAGGCAGGGGCTGGACACCAGCAGCATAGACTCAGGTGCGGATTTTCAAACCCTCGGTTTTTTCGAGGAGAACGCTTGGGGAGTATCGGTCTCTACAGCGAGCGGAGCCAGGGCGACGGCGTTGGTGGCTATCCCTTCCTGGCGAGACATGCCGCTATTCTCTTGGGTTCGTTGGAACATCAGCCCCCGCCGGCGTTGCAACGCCTCAGGGATCTGGAACGCCTCGTGTCGGCGGCACACCGTCGACGGATGGAGGAGCCCACGGCTCGTCCGTCGCTCGTCTTGGCACGGCAGCGGCTGCGCCAGATTTGGTCGGGAGAGGTCCCGCCGCCCGTACCTCATTCTACCACCGCAGGCATCACCACCGAGGTTGGAGCTTCCGCTGCCACCGCGAATGGATTTCCGCCGCAAGGGAGGACAACCACTCACTCGACGCTGATAGTGCGGCACCCTTTGCTCTCCCCGGGGCGAGTTGCTCTCGGCACCACGGTTTCTCTCTCCCGGAACTGTACTGGAACCACCACACCACGCCCCACCCACGGAAATGATGGCGATGTCGGGCCGGCGCAAAGGCGGTCTGTCACGGCGTGGGAGCACCCTGGGCTGCAAACGCCCGCGAGGTTCGAGCCGGTGCCGCTGCCGGCTGGGTTGTCAACGCGGACGGTGGCTGGCGGACGAGGGTTGTGGGCGTGGGCCCCCGTGCCGCGGTCGGAGGCGTTCTTGGCGATGGGCTTGGTGTTTACGGCGGAACCGGAGCCGCCGTCGTTGACGGACGTGCGCTGCGCGCGGAAGGAGCTTGTGGTCAACGCCCAGCCACACAAATGCAAGGTGAGATGGACTTTTTTTGTATTGTTCCGTGTATATATCATGTGGCAAAGTGGCGTTTTGGCAACACTTGATTGCTCTGAATACGTGTTCGCGATGTTGGTGGATGATGTTAACATCAGGTTCGATGGCTACGAGTCGCGTTTGGGCAACGTTCAACAGGCTGGAGGTAACCTTGCGAGGCGCGCACCGATCATCTACCGTTGAAAATAAGTCGTGCTCGGTTTCGAACGACCCAAGACAAATTTCCCTCTCCCGCCGTTCCTACCCGCTACCGTCGCTACTCAGGCCGTGACGCTGCAGCGAACGACGGAGCAACCAGGCGAACAACGCGGTGTCGAAGACACTGACCAATGCTGCGAGGAAATCATCATCGTGGAGGAAATGGGGGTGTGCGTCCCCAAGAACGGGTCGGCATGGGGCCTGTCCCCGCGTGTTGTTCTCGGAGACACGGGCACCAATCTCGGCCGGCGCCAGCCCCGGTGGGACGGCCTCATGCCCTCGATCAGCGGGACGGCAGGACAAGGAATGGTGGTAAATATCGGGCATCTACCCTTCCGCTACCCGATGAACGGCTATGCTCCCGTGTCGCAGGTGGCTCACGCCGACGCACGTTTCGTGCTGCAAGTCTACGACGACGCAAATAGAATGTGGCAGGACGTTCGGCCTAGGTAAGCAAGACCCGACAGTCATTTTTTTTTATTGCTGTGAAAAATCGTGATGAGGTCATCACGTAGTGATAGGCGCGTACAGGGATGTTAGTTTTCAGGAGTAAGATTATTTATTTTTGACCACCCGAATGAATTTAGGATTCAACGAGGGAAGTAATGATTTACGCCCCAATGCCTTCTCGGCTCGTTTGTCACAACTCCCACCAATCCAACGCTGCGACTCGTTACTTGGTGGCTGCTCCCTGTGTGGCGTTTATCGGTTTTCAGCCACGGCTTGATGGACGGAAGAGCGCCACCGCGCGCGCCAGAGCTGATCGGCAGCTGGTCGCTTTGCGCTCGCACCAGTGCCACGGACACCGCAGACGGCAGATATCTCGCAAACGACGTCTTCGTCGAATTCGCAGCCCACACGCCGCCGCCATCCGCCCACAACAGCAGCGGTGGTGACGGCAAGTTGGTGAGGTTGCCGCCAGCCCGGGCCGGCGGCACTCTGGAGGCTGCGGCGCCTGGGGGGCCGCCGATGCCGAAAGAGGAGCAAGAGGTATGGGGTTTGAGCTTGACGGTTAGCCCGCTGTTCCCTTCGGAGTTTGCCGACGCGCACCCTTGGATCGGACAGCGGTTTGAGACGTTCGCGGCTCTCGTGTGGGGAGAGCAAGGGCAAGCGCTTGCTTCGAACGCGGAGTTGGTCAGGTAAGGCTTGGTGGCGTTGTTCCGTGGTCGTATGATCACCATTTCTCGCAGACTCACGCCGCCGCCGCCGCGACAAGAATCGCAGAAACAAGTTTAGTCCAACGCGTTCCAGTAATTACGTTGTTGCTGTAGGCGTGTCGAGCACGCTATTCTCGACTTATTGCGCTAAATATGTGCAAACCCTAGATTCAGAGCAGACTTGCCGCCGCATGCATATCCTGCGAGGTCAATCAACGCGGCCGCTGCAACACAAGTAAGGCCTCGAGATTCTTTGGCTCTACTTCGCCCACTCCCTCTCCCCCCGCCCCTGCTCACCGTGATGCCGGCTTTTAACTCAGGTATGTAAATGCCGTTGCATCACGGAAGGGGCTATCGAAGGAGGCGCTGCTCACCTGCGACTGGGCGGCGTTGCAGCCCCCCGGCACAGACCTCGCAGACTGGCCGCTGCTGCAGTCAATGGCGGCGTCGCGAACGGCGGCAACGGTGGCTACAGCCTATGTCGTTTCCCCAAGGCCTTCTTCCGGCGACGGAGGAGGAGGCGTGGAGGAGACGAAGCAAAGCGACCCGCCCGGAGGTGCCCGTCAAGGCGTCGTCGCCGCTATGGACGACAACGACGGGCGGTACGACGAGTGGGTAGTGGCGAAGGCCGTCGCCTCCGGCCCGGAGAGGAGGGGCGTGAGGGTAAGGAAAACGCCTGTCGAGTACGGGAATGTGTTGTGGCGTCTCCCGTCCGGACAAGCGGCGCGACTTCTGCCGCCGCTGCCGCCGCCGCCGCCGGGAGGACGGGGGACAAGCGAGAGCTCGACGGGCGGGGCAGGGTGGAGACGTGTTCGCGGCGCGGGGGGTGACACGGGGTGGCTGCCCATTACCTCTATAGACGCCACGGGGTCCCCGGTACCGTCTCCGCTTGAACGCGTCTGGGCGCGTAGGTTCATCCTGGATTGGTTCTCTCCGGAGGCGGCGGGATGGCCAAGAGGCGAGGAAGGCGACAACGAGGGCGGGTTGGAAGCGCGTGCAGCAGCATCAAGCCTTGACGTTAAGGAAGGTGCGTTTTGGCTCCCGTTGAGGAGACGAGCCTCCGCGCCGGCGGCAGGCGGCGACGACGGCGCCGCCGTGAGGAGTCATTCCCCGATTTCCGCCGCACGTCTCCTGGGGAACAGCGACGCCCTCTTGTTGAGCGCGGTCGATGCTGGGGGCGGCGACGACAGAGGAACCTTGCTCGTCACAGGGAAGTGGACAGTTGGGTTGGTGACGGACATGCTCACCGTCACGACAAGGACAAGCGGTTGCACGAGGATAGAAGTTCCGCCTGTCGCACGGGACGGCAGCGCTAGCAGCGTCGGGGGAAAGGCGGAACAGACGGCAGACCCCTTGCCCGTGCTCGTCGATGGGCTCGTCTTCGGCTTCCGGGCGGTGGATGGCCTCCTCGTTGTAACCCGGGCGTTTCCGACGGCCACCGGGGAGGGAACGCTGCAATACGGGCAGCGCGTGGAGCAACAGGCCTTAGCGTGGCTGGGAGGGCTAGACGAGGGGGCGGAGGTTTCTTTCTCGATTGTCGACAGCGGCCAAGATGTCGTGTTCAGCTGCAGAGAGGTCGGCGCACCCCGACGGACGGCCACGGTCCGAACGAAGTGTAGGGACACGTGGGGCCGTGGGCGGGTGGCCCTCGGATGTCGAAGTGTGAAGACAGAGTCCTCCACCAGCGGGTGGGTCCGCGTGACGAGCCAGGCACACGGCGCCACGGTACGTTCCGGCAGGAGCATCGACGCCGACGGGGTAGTGGGTCGAATCCCCTGCGGGACGGTGGTACCCTTCGACAGCGCGGTCTTGTACCACTCTCCCGGGGCTCCAGATCGCGTCGGCATCGAACCGGTGATTCGTTACCGGTGCTTGGCGACTGCAACGACGCCGGCGGGCTGGATCAGCGAGCGGGGAAGGTAAGCGCAGCCACCATTTTCTTGGAAGACCCATATCCGCAGACCACTGCTTGTAGTATCACAGAGACCTCAACAGTCATATTTTGTTCTCGCATTGATCACTCTCCCTCCCTGCTTTTCGTCTCCGTCCGTAGGTACGCCAATCACCCGTATCGCATCTGTGAGCAGATTCTCGCACGGCCGCAGCAAACCCCCGCGTCCATCTCGCACGTCTCGGTTGCAAGAGTTCAATCACCGGCATCCTTTGTTGGTGGGGACACTCTAGCGGGACGGAGCAGTTTTTTCCGGGACCAACCGCTGCCGCCGGTCCGGAAGGCAGGGAATGCCGGCAGCACGGCGGAGGAAACCCCTGGCGAGGAAGACCAGCAGCGCCGGGAGTCAGAGTGGCAGCAACGCCTCGGTGAGCTAGCGGTGCTACCGACCAGGTTCCACCTGCTCCAGCAACTAAACCGAGGCGTGTCGAAAGTGCTGAGGTATGTCGACCTCTCGCAGGGAGACCTGCCGTGGTCGGTGGCCAGGCTGCTCTCCCGCTGCCGCCACCTGGTTTTCTTTGCCCTCAGGCAGGAGGCGTGGCAGGCCGAGCTCGCGAGAACGTCGCGACCGCCGGCGGCGGCGGCGGTGGCGCACTCAAGCGGGGAGGCGACGCCGCCGTCCTTGGAACTCCGGCTCAGCCGCGGCCGAGCTGCTCGGCACGCGGGGTTGGGCACGCTCCGGGCCGACCAGAAGGGGCGGCAGACCTTGTTCTGCCAGGCCTTTTTCTCGTTGAGGAATACGGAAGAGTCGTTGTTCCGGCTACGGCCGGGAGAAGTGCTCTACAGTACGGTTTTCGTCGGAGAACATGCGCACGATGCGGGAGGTACGTCGTTGGTTAGTCGCAGCACGTGCTGTTTGCCTTGAGGTGATGGATCTTTTTTGGATTGTGGTGCGTATCTGCGTGAGCAGGTCTGCGTGTCTGCTTGGTTTACGCGTGTTTGTTCGCTTCGTGTGACGGCCTTGTTGTTCGCTTCCGGAGGCTACACGAAGGCCGCCGCGCATTCCTAGTTTTGTTCGAATACCCCACCCCGACAACCGTCTCGATGTTCATCACGTTGCTGCAGCAGGCGCAAAGCCGTGTGTTTTATACCCCCGCTTGATGCTTCCCGCCCTCCCTCCAGAACAAAGTGTGACGGTTGCCCGGGAGCGCCACTTCGCGACCTCGACAATAAAACCTATCCAAGCAGCATGCATCGCACACGCTCTCGAATGTGTTTCCCTCTGCCCCGGTCCTCTTGTCTCTCGTCTAGGCCCGTACCGCGAGTCCTTCGCGGAGTATTGCGCCGAGCTTCAGTCTGGTGCGCTGCCGTTGCTGATCAAGTGTCCCAACTCGGTGAACGACGTCGGCATCAACCGTGAGAAGTGGCTCCCGAACCCGGCCATCGGCAAGGTAGGCCCCAGCGCGGCGCTGCACGCCGAGATGCTGGGTTTCCTCGGCCGTTTGATGGGCGTCGCAATTCGCTCTCAGGAGCCGCTCGACCTGGACCTGCCTTCGATAGTCTGGAAGCAGCTCGTGCGCTCGCCGATCACCAGGTAAAACAAATCCGGCGCTGGTGCATGACGATGGCAGGCTCGGGCGATACCGATGGAAAACTTTTAGCCCTTGAGGAGAAAGGAGCACAACGGCTGGGAAAGTACGTTCCGACAATCAACGGCAAGCGCCGCCGTGACGCGGAGCCCCGTCAACACATAAAACCCGTCTACCAAGCCTCTGACACTGACTGATGCCCCTCTCGCCACGTGCGTGGCCTTCGCCCCTCGAACCTCTCCAACCGCACAGGGACGACCTAGAGGCGGTCGATTTCGCGCTGACTCAAAGCCTTAAGGCCGTCCGCAACATCCACCTGCGAGGAGTTGCAACAGACGAGGCTTTCAGAGACCTGGGGCTCGGCGGGTTCGAGGTCGCCACCGCGGACGGCGGGAGGGCGGGGCTGCCGACTCCCGGTGGGGCGGCGCGGGAGGTGACCCTGGACAACCGCCTGGAGTTCGCCGATATGGCGGAGGAGTTCAAGATGCGAGAGTATCGGGTGCCGGTAAGGACAGCGTCGTGTGTTGGTGGTGTTGATGGCTGCTGTTGTTGCTCTGTTACGGCTTCTCTTGTCGGTATGTAACATGCGGGGTCCCGCGTTTTGGCTTTATGCTTTTTCGCGTGTTCAATTGTCTTACCTGTTTCGAGGTGCACTATCTCGTACAATTGATGTTGTACTTGTACGTTGCTAGCGTGTGCCCGATGATTCCTTTCACAGAGTTCTCGCCTCTCGTTTTCTTCTGCCTTGATGATTGTGCACGCACGTGAAGGTGGAGGCCATCCGTCGCGGCCTGGCTTCCGTGGTCCCCATCGAGCACCTCAGGCTGTTCTCGTGGGACGAGCTGGAGGTGTTCGTGTGCGGCCGCAAGGAGGTGGACGTGGACCTCCTGGAGGCCTGCACGGAGTACACCCTGTGCTGCCGGCAGGATTCTCACGTGTCGGCCTTCTGGGACGTGCTCCGGTCCTTCTCGCCGAGGGAGAAGTCGCTCTTCCTCAGGTACCGTTGTGCGCCGCAGTCGTCGTTGTCGTCGTCGTAGCGCTGTGCGAACGGGTATGCCGCAGAAACGTTCGCGCTCGCTCGGTTACCGGGGTGCCTTGTTTACTAAAGAGCGGAAACCGTGCCCGGTCCCGTTTTGGAGTCACCGCGTGGTGGCTGTATACCGTACCATCCGGTGCCGCTAAGTGCGAAAATGGTGGCATACGATGCCGAGCGCTGCCTCAGAAGGGTTCCCATGTCGTCGCGATGGGTAGTTCAACTGGTTACGCCTGCTTCCAGAGGTTTCCTAGAGTCTCTACCACCAGCAATGGCGTTGCACCGCATGAAGTACTATACGCCAAATAGTATCAAAAGGACGGGCCCAGTACGGCGCCGGCCGCCGGGTCACATCGACCATCGTGTGTTGGCGGGCAGTCAAAATAAGTCGCCTCTGCAAAAAAAAATTCTTTTTGCATCGCAGGTTCGCGTGGGGGCGATCGCGCCTACCGCTCAGCGCGGACCAGTTCCACCAGGCCTTCAAGATCCAGGCCTTCGCCCGCACTCCCGCGGACGCCTACCTGCCCGTGGCGCACACATGCTTCTTCAGCTTGGAGTTGCCCCGTTACAGCAGCCGAGAGGTAGGATGAAGTGTGGATCACTTCGATACGCCTGGTTTGTCGTGTCTGTCGATGGTACGCAGGTAGTGAAGCTTTTTTTGTTCAGTTTTGTGATACGTCGATGTATTCAAGACTGTTTACGGCCTTGTTGAACGCGTGGTGCAGTGGGTTGCAATTGGGTTGGCGCAAGTTAACGTCCGGTGAACTGAAGGCGAATAAACGGTGGCGTGGGGTGAATACTGTAGAACGGTGAGATCGACCATTGAGGGTTGAAACCGGGAAAACATAGGGTGGAAGTAGGGTGGAATGTGGTCAAGATAGGGTCAAGATGATGCCAAACCAAAGAACGTTCGGGGTCCAAAGTCGCCGTCAACCCGATTGCAACCTCGATTCACCCGATTTCGACATGTATTGACCCGGGTTAAAATTTTGTGTTGATCCAACCAGGCCAACATCGCTTAGTCCAACCACTGGCAATCCAGATGTAGCCCTCTGTCAGCGCAATTTTACCCTGATCTCAACCTCGGTTGTCTTGATTTCACCCTCTCGCAGTTGATGCATGTGTGTCAACCCCCCTCTCTTAAATTAATAA